TTAATATTATTTAAATTTATAAATATTTTAAGTTTAATTTAAAGTTTTAAGTATTTTATTTAAGTTTAATTTTAAATTTTATTATAATATTATGATTTTTATTTTATAATTAATTTTATATAAATAATTATTCTAATTAATATTTATTATAATATTAATTAAGTACTAAATTTATTATATTATTGCACTAATGATTATATTATTAACCAAATACTAAATTTATTATATTATTGCAGTAGAAATTATATTGTTAGGAACTTTCTTTTTTTATATAATTGTTATATTTTTTAGTGCTTTTATATTCAAATAAATTAATTAAATAATTGATAATTGAACTCTTAATTGTGAGATTGAATAATAAAATTTAATGAAAAACTTTTTAATCATGTTATTATATTAATAATTATATTTAGTTTTCTATTCTAAAAATTAAAAATTCTCATTATAACTTTATTAAATAATATATATAATCTGAATATATATTCAAATAAGTTTTTATATCATTTAATTCACACTTTTTTTAGTAACAAACTAGAATATCTTAATTTTGTAAATTACAGATCTCTTGGCCAAATTTTTGTTTTTCTATATTTTTGCTAGGAATCTCTTCTTTCTGTAAAATAGTACATAAAGATTCTCCATGAGTTGCCATTAATGAGGATTCCATAATTAAATCTGATTCATACATTCAAGACTAAAGATTACCATTCATCAAATTTGTGTATTGGGATTTCAAATGGCCAATTAATATTGAAAAGAAGAGAATGTTTTTGATTTGATGATACAAGAAAGCTCATTTTAATGTTGTATTTTTTAGTTCTTGAAAAGAACACATTTTTCTTAGTACATTGTTATGCATTTTTAAATAAACGCAGGAAAGAATTTTGTCAGAGTGCAATGAGTAGTGGAAAGTACATAGTAAGTAAAAAGGAAAATTGCATTAAAAAGTAGTAATGAGATGAGAAGAGGAATTTTTTTAGTGAATACTTTTTTTGTTTATGCCAGCAAAAACAAAATTACAAATAAACAACACAATCTGAGTTCATAATCAAAATTTTCCAGAGTTCTTCCTAAACAGATGTAAAGCACCAAAGCAAGCAGCAAGCAGCAAGCAACAGCCAACAGCCAACAGCCAACAACCAACAAGAAACAATCAAGATTATTTTGATGTACGTGTCATGCACCCGGAAATCGATTTCCCGATTGCATCGCCGAATCCCTCCTGAAGTGATTTCAATTACAAACACACTGTATGTAGAGTATTTTCTATACGTGTTTATACTATGGTCTTTAAAGCATTAAAAGGTTTACGTATCGTATAAGCCTAAGAAACTGCTACTATTTCTTACAGTCCGCATTGGAAAGTAATTGCGGAAAACTTTTTACCATATAATTGGCCTCCTTCTAAAAAAGGTTGGTGCCAAAAATACATGGCATCTTTAGCCACAACACATACTGATCTGGACAGAATTTCGGTGATTGTGACACAGAAGGAGCATCACGATTACGCGAAATTTTACTAAGTTAGAGAACCTTCGCCCATTAAGAAAAAAATGTTCGGCTTAAAGAATTACGGCATCAACATATGGTACAAAACACCACACAGGTCAAAGGTTGCTACGGCCGGTCGTGAAACTTATGGAATCAAGACGCTATTTTGGCCTACACAAAGTCCCGTTCTGAACCCCATAGGGAACTTATGGCACAAAATGAAAGAAGCTATTCGTAGACGTACTTCCGCTCGTCAAGTCTTCCAGAACTCGAAAAATACGTTAAAGTTGCATGAAAAGATCTTCCACCTGAATAATATCGTAAACTTGTTGCTATTATACGAAATATTAAAAGTTGTAAATAATACCAAAAAATAAAGTTTAAATACTTACTTCCTAGTCTTGGTTTTAAGTTTAAAATCTAGTACTTTTTAAATGGCCGGATACTTTTGATGACCCACTGTAGTTATCATTTTATTTTAATAAAGAACAACATTCTTTTTGCAGTTTTCTTGTATGACACTAGATATTTCTTATTCTTGTGAACACCTATATTATTTAGAATTGAAATTAATTTGGTGATCAAGATTCTACTGGCATAAACTGCATTTTAGTGTATTTTTTGTTTATATTTGTAGGAATGTCATCTCATCAAGTTCTTGTAATTTCTGCTGTTAGTGTTCCGGTCAAACTGAACCGGACTTTGACCTATATTCGAGAGCGGTTTGATTTCGAATTTGAACTTTTAGCCGAGTTTGAGTTATATAGTGTCATACCGATTCGTAGCCAGAAATCAGAGCTACAATTTTACTTAGAATTGCATTTTATGATTTAGAACTTTACTTAAACACAACTAAAACATTTTACATTTACAAATATTGCTCATAAATGCTGTATAATTTCATAAATATTGACGAGTAATATGAACTAATACAGTGCTCGTCAGAAGTAACGAACCCCCATAACTTTCCATAGATCATGTGTAATATTCTGAAATTTTCCGAGCACAAAGAACATTACAAATGCTGATCATGATACCTTTTATTTCTATATCGGGTATTTCATAAACTTTCATGCCCAAATACAATAATCGATCACTTTAGGACATAATATCTCGACGTCCAGAGATCCGATTTGAGCAAAAATACTACCATTTGATTTTTCTAGATTAGACAAATCGAATGGTAGTATTTTTGCTCAAATCGGATCTCTGGACGTCGAGATATTATGTCCTAAAGTGATCGATTATTGTATTTGGGCATGAAAGTTTATGAAATACCCGATATAGAAATAAAAGGTATCATGATCAGCATTTGTAATGTTCTTTGTGCTCGGAAAATTTCAGAATATTACACATGATCTATGGAAAGTTATGGGGGTCCGTTACTTCTGACGAGCACTGTATATAGCTTTTATTTCGGACTGCAACTTTACTTAAATTCATTTTATGTTTTCTATTTTAAAGTAAACTACAATTTAAGTTAGAAATAAGAACTATAAATTGATATAAAATATAAAGTTGTAGCTCTGGTTTCTGGCTACAAATCGGTATGCAGTGACGCTCAAAAGTTCTGTATCACGAAAAGTTTTACGAAAAAAAATTCTAGCACCTCTAATATCGATTTAATGTCCCTGGTTTCTATATCCGATTTAAAGCTAATAACCTAACGAAGTTTAATATAAAATACTTTATTGCCATTTCAGGAAAATTGCATGTATTTTTAATTAATGAAATCTTGATATTAAATATTTTGTTTTTAAGGCAAATCCCGAAAATTCCCAAAATACTCCTTACCAAGTTGTATGCATAGTAAACTAATCAACGCTAAGCAAATTACTGAATTATTGCAAACTAGTTTAATGGCTGATTTAGAGGCTGCGGAAACACATAGCCTATTAATAAAAAAATTATTCTCTCCTATGAAACTACATACATGCCAATTTTCAGCCAAATCAGAGCGTTGACTATTGAGATATAAGCTTCTGAATGTCAACATTACAGATACGCAAAAAAATAGTTAAATTAATTTACTGATTGAAATTTCAACATTCAGAAGCTTGTATCTCAATGGCAAATTCTCTGATTTAGTATGTAAGTAGTTTTCATAGAAAAAACTATTTTTATTAACAATATAACGATAAAAGATAATCCAAGTATAAAATAAAGTAATTGCTATTTTCTTCCAATACAGCACAGTATTTTTCTTTTGATATTGCCTTCTTTTGTTGGAAGTGTTTCATCTTGAATCTGTAGTTTTTCTTGCAAGTTATTCGACATCTCTTCGTTCTCTTTGGTTTCGTGTGGTATACTCAAATCGAAATCGCTTGGAACAAACAAACTGACACTTGACAACCCTAAACATTCGATATAAATTTTAATTAACGTGAAACGATCAGATCGATATGATTTATATTTAGAAATAAAAAGTACCTGTGTCAGTTGGAATTGAAATTAATTTTGAAGTAAACATTCGACTGGTGTAAACTGCGTTTGAGTGGATTTGTTGTTCCTTGCTCGTATTCGTAGGAATGCTCTTTTGTCATTCCATCTCCTTATCAAGTTTCTCTAATTACTGCTTTTCTAGTTTGAAACACTCCTTAACTCTATATACTTCTTTCTGGCTTAAAACAATATTTAAGTTCATATAATGTCTGCTTTCCTAGTTTAAGATACTCTTTAATTTCACGTGTTTTAAAGAGCTGTAGTACTGAAAATGCAAAGTATTCGGTTCTCTATTATATCCGTAGAAAGAGTAGATAAATTTGAAAAGTACTTCAGCAGTTGGTCTGTTTTCTGGAATAGGATCCCAACATTTTCAATAATAAACTTGAATAATTTAGGAACATTATTTGGTATCGTAGGTCGTACTCCATTATAGATGTCTAATACGAGAGCATTACTATGACTCCGCTCACCAAATGGTCGTTCACCTGTGACAATCTCGTACGTAATCATCCCCAAACTATAAATATCTGCTTTTGTGTATGGTTTTCCATTTAGTACCTCTGGACTCATATAAGGAAGTACTCCGCAAATTTTTTGATCAGAATTTTCTATATCTGCTGGTTTGGTAAGTCCAAAATCAGCACAAAAAGTTCTTTCGAACTTTTGCTGATATTTCCGAAATTTTTTCTATCAAGTTTCATTTGATATTCTGAACTGTCTAACATAAAAAAACTTTTGTTGGTCATTTAGCATTTCATTCACCGCAAAGATTGAATCGTTCATTTTTATTAGATCAGAAATATTTATCTTCATAATTACCAAAAGAAAGGATGGCGATGGTATTTGCGTTTCTAATAAGTTATCAAGGATTACCGGTTTGATCTTGGGCACATTTCCTCGTTATTGATTGGAGCAAACAAATTTAGGCAAAAGCGTTCTCTTTTGCCCATTTAATTTCACTGTTTTTCACATAATAAGAATATAAGTATTGAAATTTGATATGCTTTTATTAGTCTTGGATACATATATATTTTTTTTATTAGCAAAGGGCGCGACCTGATTTTTTATGAAAAATAGTTATATGAGGATTTATTTGATTTTATCTCCCACTCAACCGCCAATATTAACGGCGCAGGTGTGACACTTGATGATGTCTCTGGCATCGCGGGAGGTAACTAATATAAACATATAATAAATAGAATCTCAATATTTCCGTTTGTTCTTTCCAAAGAGAAGCAAAGTTTTGATGATATTTACTATAGTTGCATTAAAATTTGAAATCGAATTATATTAAATTTCTTTTATTACGTAGACATAATTATATCTAAACTTGATGGGAGCGATACTTAATGGGCAATAATTCATAAATATTTATCTAATATTTAAAGTTCAATAATGCGCATTTTGCGCCTTTACCCAGATATACAGCCGGATATAATACTTCTGGCAACCTGTGAAAAACTATTTTCACATCTCCACCGTTGATAGAGAAGCCACAGGTATGATCCTTCATGTTTAACCGTACCTCAACGCGATCACCATTCTTAAAACTTACTTCAGACTGTTTTATTGCATCTTCTTCCAGGTAGTAACCATCCATATCCATCAACCATTCATTCGAGTCTTCACCAAACTGACCAATTCCAATCGATGTGTATTCGCCTACTCTTAATATCCAAATTGTCCAAAAATAAGTTCTATCATCAAAAAAGATTTTCGAAGAGCGTGCTATTTCGCACTCCAAAAGATTTATTGGAGCCTTCACAATCGTTTGTCTGTGGTAGAAAATTAGATTCCTACCACTTGTCTTTTTGTCCCATTCAAAATTATCCGTGTTCTGAAGGTCAGAGATAAGGTGAAATTGATACGCTTCAGTTAACTGCTTTTGTGAAATTAGATTTAACGGTTGGATAAATGAATTCAAGCTTTCGTGTGGAATTAATTCTAAATCAACGAGTGGAAGAAATTGATCGATTTGCTCCGACAAACGTCTCGGTATATCAGGATCAATTTTAAGTTCATGAGGCTTATTCTTATTTTTTTCAACCGCTTCATGACTTGGTAGGAATTTTTCATAACTTGTAAATATACGAGCCGAGATTTTTTTGGCACCCCACAATATTATATATCGGAGAATGCTGTATTCTGAATTTAAATAATTTTTCTGCTTGTTTTGAAGCTTCAATAAAATTACATTGAGCATTTTATCTGTCATTTTATCATAAGGAATCCATTCAAACGGAATTTCCGCGATTTTATCACAAATAATCCTGTAAATCGAAATATCATTTTCATCTAGGTGACTAAATTTCGATGTAACAGCTTCAAAAATATCGATTAATAATCCGAAGTCTTCCTCCGGGTTTAAATTTTCCACTATCGAAGATGTGATCAACTCGAGAGCTGGTAATTGGAGGTAATTTGCCGCATGAAACACATCGACCAGATTTTCCATTAATAATCTATTGTCCTTGAAATCTCCCGCGTAGATAAACTCGAGCACAAGTTTCATCGTTGTGGTTGCTATTTCCGGAAAACTGATTTCCGAATTAATTTCCTCCAGCATCCCAACTTGAAATAGACTGTCAAAAAATTCGCTGCGTGCTGCCAAGATTGCACGGGTGCAATGTAAAACTTCACCTCCTTCTTCGTCCGAATCTGAGCATTTGATGACAAAGTCACCGTAGGATGGGTTATTCAGGATGGTTCGTAGGTCGTCGGTAAGAGAAAAACTACGATTCATCCTTTTTTGCTATAGGAGAGTGAGTGATATTTGGAATTATTTGGACTCTTGAAAATGATGTGTTTACTTTTGAATGATTGATTGATTATTTTATTTATTTCAACCTATTAAAATGTATACATGCATAATACAACATAAAATCCATTTATCAATCGAAAAACTTATTTGAAATATAATAATCATATACATGTACAATTAAACTTGGAAATAATAATAACGATACAAGAAGGAAATTGCACAAATCATCAAATATTTATTTGCACGAATTCATTCGCTTTTTCGGGTATGTATGTTACACAACCACGTATAAATTCTCAAAACAGGATTGCACAAATTTTATTGCCCAAAAAATCATGACACAACACAATGAATTATTTGAAATTCTGTGTAGTTTAGATACTCTTGGAAATTCGTGCAAGATATAGATTGAGGATTAAAAAGAATGTTATCATGTGAATATTTGTTAGCGTTAGTGATTTTTTTAAAGATTGCAAATTTAATAAACTTTTTAATTGTTAACTTAATTCCTGCATCAATCAAAACTAAATGCGAATCAGCTGTATATCATTCAAGTACATGTATATATAACGATAACTTTACATTTTAATAATCACTCCAGATTAAAGCTATGTACTGAATTTTCTCAAATAGCAGTGATCGGATAATGGGAAATGAAGCGTTCAAAAAGATAACCACCAAACAACATACGTACATGTACGAAGAGTACTTTTAAGGAATCAATATTTATCTTGACAACCCAAATTTTAGATGCTATTATTGAATACGAAAAATATAAATTCCGTGATTCTTTTCTTAGTTCAAAATTTACAGCATAAGATATTCATTCTTTGTCGTGGATATGGTACGGAAGTCATAACTCGACAATAAAGTGAATTACTTTTAAAATCTTTCAACACTTTACAAAAAATGGAATTTGGAAAAATTATACCATTAAATTTATTCTTTAAGATAAGTTCTATTAAACTACCGGTCAAATTTTCAAAAAAGTTACTAGATAAAAAGTTATAGGTGTTTAAGCTTCCAAATTTGAAACAAATCACGTGAACATCTATTAATTTTATTATAATTCAGACTGGCACTATATTAATGCTAGCGCAAATCATGTAATAAATAAAATTGTTTCGCGGGATAACACGTGATTAAAATATCGTTATTTATGGGTCGATTACAAAAAACGTGACATTGGATCGCCACCAGAAAATTGAGTTATGATTTCCAGCACCATATTACAAAGATAAAATCACAGCATTTTGTTTATCAGGTGGTGTGTGAGTCAAATATTATGAGAATAGAATTACAGTCAAAATTTGACATAACGATTATTAGCAAAAATTCTGTAAATATTTAAGTGTTTTTGGTTTGACATTTTTATACAGTAATACAGCAATACCTCTACGTATACAGTCACACCCTTTTTACAATCACCTTTTCCTGATCCCAACTATTATAAAGCATAGGAAATTTGACCTCCATACAATCACAACCTCTTTAAATTCTTTTTTCTGGTCCCGAGGGTGTGATTATATGAAGATACGACGGTATCAAAATTTTAACTAGGAATCGTTATAACGAATATCGGTATATCGAGTTTTGATTGTACTGAAGATTTATTATAAATTTCTTGGGTTGTTTTTGTTATACCAAGTTTCGTTATATTGAGTTTTGACCGTGCAGTCAACTCTGCTTAAATGAAATTCGCTGGGATCTATGAATAATCAGACATGGCATGCATTTAGAGAGATTGAAATCACGATTTTTTATGGGCAAAAGTTGGATCTTAAATTACGATTCATTATGTGGAAACTATCATGAGCAAAAAAAACATATTTAATTTTCTATTTCGATTCATTCTAATTAAATTAATTATAATTTTTTGTGCACATTAGAATTATACATCCTTTATCCTTCTATATGGACGGGACGTTCAGTCACCACAAATGAGAAATGCGCTTTTCACAGAACTAGTCTACGAAAAAATATCGAGTGTTTTTCGAAAACTAATTTGTCCAGGAAATTGATTTATTAGCATCTAGATAACGAATATTGGATTTCTGTTAATGGTGGGCATTTTATTGTTAATGAGAATTCGGTAAATTGTCTTTATGTTGTTCTAGTTTTTATATGTTAAATAAACTATGATTGCTGAGATATCGATTAATCTTACGTTTTTAGTTTTGCAATGCTGGTCATAATTCTCTCATGGAATATCGATACTGATAATCTTGCTTATTGAGGCCTTATTTCGGAAAAACTATTTAATATATACGACAGATTTTCTAGACCTTACATATACATGTATGACAATAGTCATTCAAAGTTACGACAGATTTTCTAGACCTTACATATACATGTATGAAATTCAATAGTCATTCAAAAAGACGACACAAAGTTACATTTATACATTTAGTATTTTTACTTCATTGTTCCTGCTACTTTAATTACATGTATATCACCGGTAGATAAACGTGACGAAGCTATTTATATCGTTTCACATAACGATACGAAATGCCAAGACTAGCAAATCTCAATGTACACAATGCAACTAAATAATAACTCCTTTCGCAAGGGTTGCATTGCATCCTTTCAAGTATGTGCAATTTATGCTGTGCTACAAGCTTTGCTGTTTTGAATTTGAATTCCATTTGTATTTTGCAAAAATCAACATCACAGATTTCAATAAATTATCATAAAAAATTTTAATGAAATAAAAATAATGTCGTATAGAAGAAATAGTATCGACTCTGATAGTCAATTTAGTGACGAAGAAAGAAGAACCAAGATATTGGGTGTTTTTGCGGGTATTGGAAATAATTGCAATAATATGGTAGGAGCCGGAATATTTTCCAGTCCTGGATTAGTATTGCATAAAGTGCAATCTCCCGGAATAGCATTGATTTTATGGCTGATAGGTGGAATAGTCGCGCTCTGTGGATCACTATCTTATGTTGAGGTTTGTTTCTTGTTTTTCACATTTATATAAATGAATTCGTTTTATTCATAATAGAAATAAATAATGATTATTTGTTCTGGTTAAACTGAATAATAGTTGGGAAGTTCACTTTCGGATGGAGGTGGAGAAACTATATATTTGAAAACAGCATTTCCTCGTCCCCGTGCACTTTTGAGTTATATGTTTAGTTTCACGATGATTGTGTAAATTTCTACTTAATGTCTTTTTATCTTTTGAATTCCTATCTTTAACACTCAATCTTAATTTAGCGCGATACGTCCTGGTGCGATTTCAGCGGACGCTAACGTGGTAGCTCAGTATTTTGTATATATGGCTACGGCCAAAGGAGAATGTGAAAATTCCGATGAACTTCATCCAAAAAAATATTTGGCTAATTATGATTTTTGGTAAGATTTGAAAATATTTTCAAGATGCGTATCCGTTATTATTTAACCAGACAAGTTCTATGTTCGGGAATCAGGCGACTCCGGCTAATTTCCTTATTGGTAGTTTGGATAATTACAATATACCATATAATATCCAACAAATGGGCAAATCGCATAAATCAAACGTTAACAACTATCAAAATGACGACTCTCTTGGTGATCTCGGGTGTGGGATTAGCGGCAATTAAAAGATCTATTTCCGAATCAAGCTCGACGGATCCGTCAAATTGGAAAAATTTGTTTCCTAATGTTGGGATTGGTGCGCGTTCTTTGACCGGAGGGCTTATTCCTATTTTATTTGCATATAATGGTTGGAATAATTTAAATTGTGAGTATTAAAATGAAAGTTTATTTTTCAATCAGTGAAAAGTTAAAATCTTTTATTCACGTCACGTCAATGTGTTTATTACTGTTACAGATACTTTGGATGAATTTGTTGATCCACAAAAGAAATTGTTGGTGTCAAATACCATTAGTGTTGGAATTGTTACCATTTTATGTAGGCCATGATTATTATTTTTCGTGTCTTATTATTTATCTTTGGCCATCTTATTAAATAAAAGTATCTGTTTATTTACGTAGATCTATTGGCAAATATTGCATACACTAACGTGCCATTAACCCAAGTAACAGGAGGATCGGATCCATCTGAAATCATTGCTGGACAATTCGCATTGAATGTTGGCGGCTTGAAGCTTGCTCGTGCACTATCGTTTTTTGTGTGTTTATCAGCATTTGGGGCTTTAGCAGCGATGATGTGGAGTGGGTCAAGAGTAATTGTGGCTGCAGCTAAGGCGAATTATATCCCAATATTTTCACCATGGCTTACTAAATGGAATAGTAAGACTGATACTCCGATCAATGCATTGGTAAATACATATCATTTATCGATGAAAAGGTTTATATAGTCTATTAACTGGGTTTTTTTCAGATCGCTCAGTCAGTATGGTGTTCAGTGATTATACTTTTTTGTCCTTATGATGATCCGTTCCAATTTCTCGTCGTAATTTCAGAGTATACTTCGTGGGTTTTTTTCGGTCTTAGTGCGTTGGGATTATTGGTTTGCATTATGTTTCATTGATAGTTTGATTTTTTGCATTTGGCAGACTCTTCTCTTAAAATTGAATTTGTTTTTAGGTTTTGAGAAAACGACAACCTGATCTACGACGTCCTTTCAAAGTATTCCGAATCTTCCCAATTTTGTTCATTTGTTTTGCTTTATTTATAATATTCGGATCGTTTGTCAATGATGATGAAACGACTTTGGATATTAAGTTGCCAAAAGTCAATGTTACTTTGAACAATTCATGTGGTTACGGCAATGATGATGGAGAGCCCTCTTACGCATACTATCTTCCTTATACCACAAGCCTGATTGTAATAGCGATCAGCGCGATATGTTGGTACTTTTTATTTCATATTAATTGGCGAAATCGCCTATCGCAAGGAGAAAATGAGAAATCTAATCATGAGGATATTAAGAATGATGATAGATTACCACTCGAAGCGGCAGAGACTATAGAGACTATTGAGTCTAACAATTCTAGTCAGATAAGTCAGACACCTGAAAGTGCAATGTCGAAAGCATAGACTTATCAGGAAGTTTTATATATGTCCTGGGACATGTTCTAAGATTTGTTACCAGACATGACTTCGGCCATATGTAATTGTTAAATAAAAAATTCTACTTGTTTAATTACATATATTTTATGACATGTGCATTTAATCTAGAATAATTAATTTGCTAGCGTTAAAATAGCGCAATAGACCCAGATTTAATGGTAGTAGCGGTAGGGACTGGAAACATAACCTTAAAAATTTTAGGATCCGTCACCTAACCTATACTCTTGGTAAATGGGGACTATGGCGCTATAACGCATATGCAATAAATATATTGCCATTTTTAAATTTACATATTGTATAAATCAAGCATATATATAAAGTCTTTGTTTTTTGATGAATTGCTATATTTCTTAGAATTGCTCCAATCTTAAACAAAGTGTTTCTTGTAGTTAGAATGATTCAACAAGCCAAACTGTGCTTTACCTACATATTTAAATATCAAGATAATTGTTTAAACTAAAGCATTCTGTCAAAAATTTAAATTTTTTGTTTTGATAAATATAATTTGATCAGATTGAATTTGTAAATTTATAATGAAATTGTAATTTAATTAGCTAAATTCTATTAGTATTCCCATAAACTGAACTAAACCAAATTTTTGGATTTGAGTCTGGTTTGAAATTTGAACTAAAATTGAAATGATCTTTGGCTTGAGTTTAAAAAAGATTTGAAATTTGAATTGATTTGAATTTAAGAAAGATTTGAAGTTTGAATTAAACTTGAACTAAATTATTGTATGAGTTTGCATTTGATTTGAAATTAATATATAGTATATTAATTTGTAGCTTTGAATTTGGATTCCAATTTTATTTATAAGTATAATTTATAATATTTATTAGAAATTAAAAGATCATTTAAAGAAAACTAAACCATTTTTATTTTTATATTTATTAAATTTTATTTAATATTTTAAATATTTATAAATATTAATTAATTTATTTATTTTGGTTATAACTTCATATAGAATTATATTTATAATTTTTAAATATTTATTATAATATAACTAAATAAATCAAAAATTATAATATTTTTTAAATTTATATTAATAATAAATAATAAGAACAATAATATATATTAAATAATATTTTAGAAAATAAAAATAAAACTAAATTTTAGATAATATATAATTAAATATTTTAATTAATTATAATATCTTATTTGGAAATAGAAAAATATATATTTCTATTAAAATAATAATAATTAATTAATAATTAATTATTATATTTATTATTAATTAATAATATTAATATTTTTAAAATAAAACAAATTATATTATTAATTTATTTATAATTTTATTATATTTAATTAGTACAATATAATTAAAACAAATATAATATCTCAAAATTTTTATTTTGCTTTTCTAATAATAATTTAATAATTTAATTAATTAAAATATTTAATTTGATTAATTAAATTATTAAATTATATTAAGTAATAAATATAATATTATTTTATAATTGCTTTATTTTGCTTTTTTATAATTTTATTCTTTTATAATTATTTAATTTTGATTTTTTAAGAGTAATAATTATAAAATAATTTATTATATATATTTTATTTATATATTTATCTTCTTTTCTAATTATTTTTATAAATAATTAGATAAAATAAATAATTTTTATTTGGAATAATAAATAATTAGTAAAATATAATAATAATAATAATAATTTTTTTAATTTATAAATAAATCACAAATTTTAAAAAAAATTTTCAAAAATAATCAAAATAAAAAAATTAACAAAAATAATTTTATTTATAATTTTTATAATATTATTTTCTTTTTATAAAGAGTATTAGTTTACTTAACTTATTTGTTATATAAATTTTAAAACAAATAAAATAACTTATAAACTTAAATAAGAGTTAAAAAGAGAAAATTAAACAAATAAATAAAGTATTAAATAATGAAATATCTAAATTATATATTAATTTCTATTGAAATTATAATAATTTAAAAAAAATAAAAGTATAAAAAAATTCTAAGAGAATAAAAATAAAAAAGAAATATTATAAAATAATAAAAGAAATTTGAGATATTAATTCTCTATATTAATATAAAATATTTTAGAGTAAGAAAATATAATTAATAATAATAAAATATTAAGTGATTAAAGTTTTTTTCATTTTTAAGCAGTTAAATTCAAAAATATAATTAAGTAATCAAATTTTTAACCAAATGAATTATCAAGTTATAAAATATTAAATAACTAGTCAAAAACAAAATACTTATTTCCAAATTAAAAATTAAAAATTTAATAATCAATTTCAATAATAGCATTTTGTAGATTCAAAGTTACTTGTATACAAGCTTTAAATATAAAATTGAAAGTGAAAATATTATTTAATAAAAAATTTTATTTTCAGTTATAACATGTTGAGTTAAAATTTAGATGGTATTTCTATTTATATATTTTCAGAAATACAAATGGCAAATCTGGGTTATATCCCTAATGAACTAAATGCTTTTATTGCTGTTCTAAGTACTGGATTAAGAACTGAGAAAAGTCACATATGACATAAACAATATGATAAGTTTTGGTATCTGTATCTGGATTAGAGTTCTTTGGCAAATAAAATTTATAGTAAAATTTCGCAAACATTTTTTTTTTGTTAGAACACAAAAGACAGTTTCATAAGTAAAATTTCGAGATATAAGCTATTTTTCAAAAATAAGCATTTGATTTATTTATTTTTGGTTGTCAAGGAATTTTACATTTTAAAATTATTGCAGATCATGGTGAATCAAGAACGGGAATTTTGTAACTTTTGGACGCGATATCTCGTGATACACAGGTTCAATCCAGACGAAAAAATACCACAATTCGATTCGCCAAGACTGGGCGAATCGAATGGTGTGTTTTTCGTCTGGATTGAACCTGTGTATCACGAGATATCGCGTCCCCCCCCCCGGTTTTTAATCAGAAACTAAAAAAAAAATTGTATTTTTGCCTGATTATTTTTTTTACAGGGATATAATGGGAAGAAAAGTTTAAATATTGATTATCGTTATAGATTTTCAATGAATGATTTTTCTATTGCAATCACAAAAATATACACCAAAATACGGTCATCATAAATAGCTAAATACATGTAGAATGATTGGGTGTTTAAAATTGGCCTGCGCAATCTGCGCATGATATAATATCAATACTTCTCATTATGATTTTTAATATTAAAGGATGAATATTTTATCTGCGATGCGCATAATGAGAAATGCTTGCGCAGATAGATTGTTTTGAAAGTATGCGGGCGCGCAGATTAATTTTCAAATAAATTTTAAACAATACCGATACAGTAAATTGCATTTTTAAAGTTTTTATAACTTAGGAAGTAAATTCAAAATTTAATCCACACATATGCTAGATTAGGCCTTTTTTGATCATATCGATATTTGTGGATTAAAATTTTCCTAATTGACGTTAACGTTAAGCTACAACACTTTAAAACAATGCAATTACTGTACTTTTGATCGCCCACTTGTTGATTACGTTCGGTATGTATCTTATGGCGCACATACAGACGCTATTTGTCGTACAAATTATTTAAACAACAAATTCGATCTTAACGTTAACCAAGTACATGTACATGTACATGTACATACGTAACAGTAACTAAATAAATAATTTGAGTGGCCATGTCAAAAATAACCACAACTTTCGATTTCGACAATGTTGCCTGCAATATTCGACCAAGCTACGAATCCGAAGATGATCACGACACTCATGATTTCTCAATACTAAATCCAATAATGAAAATTTTCAAAGACGGCAATGCCAAATGGGTAAAAGATACAAAATTGGCCAAAGATATCGAAAATTGGCTGGCAACTCATAAAATAGCGCCAAAATATTTATTTGAGTTGCTACTTGATAAACATGGGGTAGAGCCGGAAAATGCTGACGTCGCTTGCTTGCTCGCGCTTCTCTATTACAACGGATTGGGAGCCGAGAAAAGTGGGAAAAAAGCATTCAAGATGCTGAAGGAGATTGCACAAAAAGGTGATAGTTTTGCTGCGATACAGCTTGGATGCTGTTATGAGATTGGAATTGGGACAACTCAAGATGAATTTGAGGCATTCTATTGGTACTCTAAATCGGCGAAATCCGATTTTGCCGGTGGATATTGGTATATGGCCGCATGCTATGAGCAAGGAGTCGGCACAAAACAAAACTACAAATCAGCCGTCCAGTATTATCAAAAATCTTTAGATATGGGTTGTTTTCCCGCTGCTCTTTACCTAGCAAAATGTTACCGAAGTGGAATCGGAGTTGATCAAGATATTACGAAAGCATTTTATTTAACTTTGAAAGCGACTAGATGTCAATTTGGTGGTGCTTATACCGAAACTGGGAGATATTATTCATGCGGTCGTGCCACTACAAAGGATGTTCATAAAGCTATAAGATTCTTTCATTTAGGTATAGAGAATGAAGATGACGAGGCTTATGGCCAGATTGTGAAATTGTTTTATCCACTCATTGTGGGCTAAGGATATGTTTTGCTTAATGCTAGCACACAGCATTTATTATTTATTCTTGAGGTATAAAGAAGGTGGATCAGGACACTAGTGACAAACATTCATATTCTTTATTACGTAAATTTCTTAGAATTTCTACAATTATATTTAAGATAATATTGGACACAGCATGTAGTATGTAAATACACTATAACCTTTTTACTATCAACGAGAGACAAAATATGAAGAAGTGAAATCTAAAAATATACATTGTGTCTCGAAAAAAATGGTGGTTTATGACAAACTATTCTACATGAAATTCATTTAGTTAAAGAAATACATCAAAAACGAACATTCTCCTTCGCACTAATTGAGCGTAATTTTTAAAAAGCTCAAATAACTGGTGGCAAGAGCCATCAGAATAAAGTATATCGCGTTCCATCGGGCAAGTTTTTCGTCGTCAGTTTGCTGTGAAACTTCAAGGAATAAAAAATATATCAATTTCACACCATGCTATTTGGCAATAAAGGTTCTGTGCCCGTTGGAACACTCATGCTTACCACCAAACATATTGAATCACAAAAAGCATAGGACAAGCGTATATGAATGATAATTGGAGTTTACGAATGAAACGACCTTTAGTTCGTATATGGCATAAGGAAGGTCGAAGACCAAGTATTGCAAAAGAATTTTTTTCTCAAAATGAAATTTGTGTTGTTCAATTCAAGTCTAAATGTATTTATCCAACAGCATTGAGTCATTATATTGCGACAGTAAAAATCCCCCGACCCTGATCCCGAAGTAACCAAAAGTAGATCATGAAAAAAAAAAAGGATGTTGAGGAACCAAAATATCTACTAAATGGAGTTTAATGAAGTAATTCACTGTCGCTTTTTTCGAAATAGACTAAATCACTATTTCAAGAAGGATGAATTATATTTATTTCTAAAATCATTCAAACAGTGTTAAGAAAATCCAAACACAATAAGTTGCTTTCTTGTTTTTTGGAATTAAACACAAGATGTCTTTAAAGCTACGTGCAATCCATTTGTTTATTATTTTCTATTTGCTTGACATTTATTAGAAGTGAAAATTGCAACACTTTAGTTTCAAAAACACTCTACATCTTTTCATCAATTCAAAAACTCAAGAAAAATAATTAAATAATAGCATTCTACTCAAGAAAATAACGATAATGAGTCATGAACTTTGGATTCGAGAAATTTTAGATTACAGTCAAACCTCGATGTAACGAACTTCTTGAGCTGGAAATTTTTTTCGTTGTATCAAGTTTCCATATGAGACTTCGTTATATAGAAGTAATTTTAAAACAAAAGGTCTTTTTCTTTCGCTATGTATCTAGGTTTCGTTATATCGAGGTTTGATTATATTTGGTTTTAATATTTAAATTCATAATCTTTTTTCTTATATATACGCATGTAGGAGAAACTAATAAACATATTCAGCAAATCTACACATAAGAAAAAAATGTTTTTTATAGAAGAATTCTTTATTGTATGATACATATTTTTAGATCAATCCAGTGAAGTTCGTGCGGTTGTTTTTATATAGTATAAAGTACAGCGAGAGGAGGCTGCATTTAATCCTACATGTTTGGGTGCCTCGTAATAACGATAAATAATTTCTTATTCTTTGAAAAACATGAATTATTGAAAAAACACTATTCAAATATTGATCGCTTTGGTTTGACAATCGCGAGGTAATTTTGAAACTAGTGTTTGCAAGTAATAAAAAGATTTACACACTCAATAGGCAACAAAGCAGACTTATCTATTCTAATTTCGCTTTTGTTTTCTATCTTAACTTCGCTTTTGATCTCGCTTTTATTTTCGCTTTTGATCTTGCTCTTGTTTTCTATTTCTTTTTCTATCTTAAATTCTCTCTTAAATAATAGAGTGCATTATGCAACAAGTTCTGAAACAATACTTCATAATGTAATCAAAAAGATGTATATATAGTCCTCGCAAATGTTAATAAAGATACAGAATTAAATTGTGTACAATTCTTTTCCAAGTAAAATTATACTGTAAAATTGTTGTAATTGATTGTGATTAGGTCTTTTAGTCCAGAAAAGGCATTGATATTGTTAAATGATTGATTGATTGATTGGAAAAGCACTTTGTGATTGAACAGTTTAAGACTTTTAGCTAGAAAAAGCAATGATTTGAAGTTAATAGAAAGAATATTATTGATAAACTGTCACATAAAACATAAAATCCAAAATTACCTTATCTAAAAACTGATCCATTCAAATTCTTTTCTCTACCATCATACTGAATAATATTTATAGATATCAGTACAGAAACTAAAAACAAATAAATATCACCTAATTAATCATTATTGTGACAGGTAAAATTATCAATTATACCTAATTATGATCCATTCATAATATTCTTAGTGCTCTCTCTGTAAAATTCAAATTCACATCATTATAGATTATTATTTTCTTGACTATACATTATTTCAACAAATCACTTATAGAATGAAATCAAGCATGAAAACCAATAGTAAAAACAATTATAAGCAAATTGTATTCCATAATGAAAGTTCTAAAATAGACAAAATTAAAAATCAATAATTAAAAAATGAAGAAAATAATGAAATAACAGAATATATAAACAAACTTGTTCAAGTTTTGGCTAAACTCACTAATGTTATAAATATTGAATTGACCTGATAACCAAAAAAATTCTCATTTCAATTAAAAAGTTCTAAAGTGAAAATTAAAATTCAGCCAAGTAACTTCAGGATTTCAAAATTACTATTTGAGTTAATAAAATTACTAATAAAAAAATTCAAATTATAAGAGAATATCTTAAAGGAATTGCTATTATTTGTTTGATCAGAGAAATACTAATAATAATTTTCAATTAAATAATTGGATAAATCAACAAAATAATAAATATGATTTAAATATCAATTTATTTTAAAGATCTGAATAAATAAGAAGGTAAAGCATTAGCAAGAGAAACTGAAAATTCTAAGATAAGATGAAACTATGAAAGAATATATCAATTAGTTCATTTAACTTATAAAGAAAATCAATTCTAATGATCATTATTCAGCAGATTACAAGATATATATCTATAAAAAAAATTCAAATCAGATATTAAAAAGTAAATTCATATAAATACAGATAGAATATATAATAATATTATTAAAATAATCAAAATTTTCAAAGAGATTGATACTAATAAATTAATAAAAACTTTTTATTAAGTTTAAACAATATCTATTATCAATCTTAATATTCTAAATCAGACTTTTTAGAGTTTAATATTAGATTTATATAAATAAGAAAACAAAAAGAAATTTTTAAGAAACTAAAAAAAGACTCATTTTGATTCTAATATTAATATTTTCTAACTTTACCCAAAAATTCTATCTTTATACAAATATTTTTGATATTAAATTAAAAATAATATTGTTATAAAAGAATGATTAAAATTGAAAATATGTAATTATTTATATTAATATTTTACTTAAGCTCAGAGAAAAATATTGTTACATATTTTTTACTAATAGGGTAATTAGCTAATAAATGCAAACAAGGGTTGGAAGAGATAATTAAACAAATATAAGAGAAATATAAAAATAATATCTAAGTTCTATGTCAATTTCTACTGAAATTGTTATAGTTTGAGAGGGGAAAAGAATAAAATAATAGTGTTTTAATTAGGTATAGTGTTCTAAATAATCATACTAACTAATAAATTTACGAATTATTTAATTAAAGTGACTAATAGTTTAACTAATTAATAACAATAATAAAAATAACAAAAGTAATGAAGACTCTTTCACTTCATTCTTCTCACAAGAAAAAGATTATGTTATCTTTAGTTAAGGAATTCCAAATAATTCAATTTATAACAAAAATATCAAAAGACTAGTCTATAACAAAATATCAATTCAATAATTCAATATCAATATTTTAATCAGCTCAATATGGTCTCAAAGCTACTTGTTCACAAGATTTGAAGTGTACTTTTAAGAGGGTAATGCGAATTATTTTAAGTATTAAAAGGTATTTGTTTATTATGTTATTTATTTTCAAGTTCTGACATGTTGAGTTAGAGCTCAACTACAACTCATATTTATACATTTTCTTCAAAATACAAATATAATATTAAAAACA